CCCCAGGAGCGGGTCTGCTCCGGAGCCTCCCCGACTCACGATCCCTGCCCCGGGTCCCCAGTAGACCCCACCCATCGTCTCTCTGACCGGACACCATTCCGGCCCTCCAGCCGCCCGGGCGGTTCGGCCGCGAACCCCCGTACTCGCAGCACGCCCCATTAGAACCCTCCTCTGACTCTTAGGATTCTTAAAGGAGCCTCCAGACTCCGTGACATCCTCCCGTGAGCTTACCGGATCACAGTTTCTCTGAGACCCAGTCACGGCCGCCCCCTTACCCATTGCAGCCCCCAGTTCCAAGGCAGATTCATTGCTGCCCACCCCCCTTCCGAGCGGACCGCCCCCTCCCAGGTCGCTCACCGCCAAGCCAACCAGCTCTTTCCCTACCCAACTGAGCTTTCACATAGTCTATTTCGTGATGCTCTTCCCTCCGGTAGATCTGGTGTCAGCCACTCTTTAGACACCCCCTTCTTTCCCCACTCCTCTCTCACAGACCTCTCCCTACACAGACCTTACCTTTTTTTCCTGGTGGTGATCCTTTCTTTGGTTGAAAGGGCTTAGCCATGAAATTCTGAAGGGATGTTTGCTTCGTGTGTATTCTCCCCACTTGGTCATAAGGGAACCAACCGACACCCATGTTTGAAGGGTTTAGTCTGGTGCTGTGAAAGCGAGGGAGGGGGAAGAGTATGGAAGCTCAAGGCAGGGTGTGTGTGCTGTTATAAGGTCACACAGCCTGCTTCATATCTTGTGTCTTCTGTAGAACATGTGAGATAGTCCAGAACTGATTTTAGGAAGCTCCATTAAGGATTAAGTCATATGCCACTAATTCAGCGGTTCTCAACCTGTGGGTCGCGACCCCTTTGGGGGTCGAACGACCCTTTCACAGGGGTCGCCTAAGACCATGGGAAAACACATATATAATTACATATTGTTTTTGTGATTAATCACTATGCTTTAATTATGTTCAATTTGTAACAATGAAAATACATCCTGCATATCAGATATTTACATTACAATTCATAACAGTAGCAAAATTACAGTTATGAAGTAGCAACGAAAATAATTTTATGGTTGGGGGGTCACCACAACATGAACTGTACTAAAGGGTCGTGGCATTAGGAAGGTTGAGAACCACTGCACTAATTGGATGTAACTGTGTCTCCATGTAGTATCATTTGCTTCATCTTGCAGATTTTACAGATCTTTTGTACTGGTTTGAAGGAAACTTTTTTTTATTTGCTGTTTTTGAATTTGCAGGAGAAGTAATATTTATTGGTATAGCTTTCTTTAATCCCTAAAGATTTAATGTCAATTTAATATATTTCTCCTACCTAGGGTTGCTTGCTGTCTTGCTTTACCAAGGAGCAAATACAGTTATCATGCAGTGTTCACTGGTGTCATTACCAACAGCTTCTCAGCAGTAGTAAAATCTATATATATAAAAGGCTGATATGCTAAGTGTCCATCCGGGTAATGACGTCACGTAGCAATGCCTGGCTTCCTCTCCCTAGTGACTAGCCTCCTTGGAGTTTCTTCAGCCCAGGAATACGACTTGCTTTATAGCCAAGTGCAAACATTTTACACTTTAACCAAATGTCTGTGAAATGTTTTCCCATGCCTCATCTCATTGATCCTCACAGAAGTCCTGGAGTAGGTAGATGGGAAACTCGGTGGAATCCTATTTCCTTTTCATTAGCTAGAAAACGGAGATTTAGAAAGCTTGGAAACTTGACCAGACTGAAAAGAAGTAAATCATGGACCTTGAAAATGACTTCAGGTTTTCTCACTGCGCAGAATATAGTCAAACACTGCTGCAGTAAAATATTTTACCCTTTGTTCTCCCTGCATGATCTACAATAATAATCTGCTTCATGTTGATATTTACTGCTG